ACATTCGAAAAACATTAGACATAATGAAAAAGACAGTCTCACAGATGCAATGAATGAACTTACGCTGCCGGGATGAACAACGCTATGTAGGTGGCCATGTAAATCATACTCGTCCAATCAACAGCTGTGAAACTGAAAGACAAATTTTCTTTTTCCGCTTAGGCAGCGTTCAGAGTAGGCGATCGTACATGCAATTTAGCGATCAGGCGATTAGGCGATCAGATGACTGAGAAAGAAAAGTCACATACCGAACAGGCGAGTAGGCCAGCAGGCGAGAAGAAAAAAAAATACGTACGTAGTATGTACCGATTTGCTGCTCCGCCCAATTAGCAATCGACTAATCGCTTACTCGCCCGCCTAGACGATATGTACCACTTTCCTAGCAGACTTATCGCTTAACTGACTAATCGCATGAACAATCGCCAACCCCTAACATTGCCTTAGACTTCTGAATTTTCTAATTTTTTAAGACTCAGTAATTTGAATGTGATGACACACCTGACACCATAGAATTCGGCGACTATTTGAGCTATGACGGAGTACATGATCCATTGGGCACCGTTGGAAGCGCTGAGTGAGATGAACATTGCCAAAATCGCCCATCGTTTTTTGTACACCCGCGGCTCCATACCAGATTTCTCCGTCTGGAATAGTCATGAAGAGAGAATCCAACCCTTGTATGAGATCTCACTGGCAAAAGAAATAATGGAAGAAAAAGGAATGGTCATAAGGTTGAGTAGAGCGGCACGGTGCTAAAGAAGTAGGAAAGACGAAAGCAGTCAGCAGCGGTAAAACAAAATCAGCGCTGTCAACTGTAAACTAAGCAAAATCACAAAAAACCAGAAGAAGTTTTGAAGCAGCCGCTGAGTGAAGTACTTGAGAAGTTGTGTGGAAAAGAACTAAAGCGCTAAGTAAACCTAACGACAGGTCATCAACCATCACTCGACAAAGGTCGAAAATGTTCCAATTCCTAGCAGCATTAACGTCTGCATTCCAAGCTCACCACTGTTTATTAAACACTATATTTAAATCCCCTAAAAATGTCCAAGAGTTACAGAAAATGAATGTGTCTGGGAAGTTAGTCGATGTTGATATAATCTATTTGTTTTATGGTCCGCGATGAAGTGATTTATGAGTTCCAAGGAATACAGGGCGGGTTGAGGAGGGATATTGTTGCAGCCCATATGACCATTTTCCCGTGGCGGTCAACAATAAGCACGCCAGCTTGGGCTCTCTAAGTCCGTGATGGGATGGAAGAGTATGTAGGGAGGAGTCATAGGGTTCATACCGAGCCCTTGCTCCTCTTTTTCCCTCCGATCATACCTCTAAGTCCCGAAGTCCCCGAAAATTCTTTGAAAGCTCGAGGCTATATATCAAGAGTCAAAACAGTGGAAATTTCCCAGACATCCGCTATGTTCCCATACATTTTCCGAATTTTCGAAAAAAAACTAACTTTAGAGATCGCAAAATTAGGTACGACTTCTCAACCCATTACGTCATGAAGAGGATTCGATCCATGGCGTACACTAGTTGTAATTATTTTCTCTTAATTCCCACCGTATCCTCTGGGAGTTACCATAAGCCTACGAGGGGCAAGAACACAGGAGAAAATGAGTCCATGCACCCTGGAGTCTCTCCTCCCTCACTTGAGCCCTAGACCCGTTTTTGAACAAAAGAACCTATTTCACGCCGTTTTGAGTGCATTCCCCTAAGTGCCCCGTATCTTGCGATAGCGCACCGCATAGTCGTAACGGTCTGGAACGATTACTTCTGGGGATACGCCTTGCACTCCACTTCCATTAAGAGCCGTGGGGCATTTGAATAAGATTAACGAATAGCGGTGGCAAGCTGATGCGCTCACACACCACTTGTGCCCAAGTGGCTGAAGAACTCATGAAAAGTGGCTTGGGAGCAGGTAATAAAGGGAAGCAGCTGTTGGGAAACGGCAGTGTCAATAAAATAAAATGAAATACTAGCCAGTCACTTTTCGTGATCGCTTTTGGCCATTCGGGAACTCGAGAAAGGGAAAGTGTGAGTAATGAACCAATCACTCACCTGTAGGTCGTTACCAATTCCCATGTCGCGACCGGTGCCGCTGCCAGTGGAGGGCGAAATCTTGTCCGCTGACACGGGCGGAACCTCAGCGACACGCCCACTTCCCGGCTGAAATCACATCCACTTCGGTCGTTAAAGAATCGTTATGAGGGCAAAAATCAGTGGTAATAAATACAAGGAGGAAATTCATAAGTGGAAATGGCTACAAAAAAGTAAAGAAAAACTAAACAAAAGCTTTAATTTTCGATCATTCCTGTCAAGCATTCCATCACAAGGGCCTATCTCTCTCACAAGGGGAGGTCGTTCAGGGCGTGGAGCGCTTTCTCAAAACGGTTTTTCCTATGATATAGAGGGATGTGCCTGGAATACAGAACTGTGGTCCATTTCCGCTAAATGGCCCACTGAACGCCAAAAAAAGGTGGGAAAAGTGGTCCTTGGTTCGATTCCCCGCGGTGACAAAATTTTTGCACTGTGATTTAACGGCCACAAAATTGCTTGATTCCTACACATCAAAGAATCGCGTGTTTCATTTCAAAAGGACCAAAAGTTCACAGAAACCCCAAATTTTTCAAAAAAGGGCAAAAAATCCAGAACTTTGAAGAAAAGATGAAGAAAGAAGAAAGAAAAAAAAGATACTTTCTAAACCTTCTGCGACAATTCAGTATGTGACACCATCGTCAGACAGGCTTTTGCCCCCACCGGGAGGTCTTCCAGATAATGCCCAGCTTTTTCGAAATGGTTTTTTGCCTGATATAGAGGCTCGTGCATGGAGCACAGAACTGTGGTTCATTTTTCCTGAGCGACCCTTTTAATACCAAAAAAGGAGCGAAGAAAAATTTCTTAAGGTACTGCCGTTCTTGACTTTTTTTGGCCAAAAAGCTGACTTTCACCAGCTTTTTTCCCAAGACTCTACAAAGGTTGCTGGCGATCCTACTCTAGAATAATGACATCTGCTATTTACGCTGACTCCCTTTTCGCCAATTTTGAAAACGCCAACACAAAATGCAAAAAATTGTCACTGGGAGGATTCGAACCACGGACCACTTCATACCCCTTTTTTGGTATTCAGAAGGTCCGCTCAGGAAAAATGAACTACAGTTCAATGTTCCATGCATGTACCCCTATATCATGCAAAAAACCGTTTTGAGAAAGCTTGGCATTTCCTGAGAAGACCTTCCTCGTCAACCAAATATGTATAAGGCTACCGGCTCGGTGTGCGCCGAGTTCCCCTCAAACGGTGCGGCTCCCGGAAAGGAGGCAATGACTGACGAGGGTCGGTGCGACAACGAAATATGGCAAGATTCCACAGGAATCTTTTTGAATTTACTTTTTGCGAACTTAAGGAATCTGTTGCGAGATTTGGGTGGAATTCTGTGATGCTTTTTGCGATTGCTTTGAAATATTGTGTCGGGTTTTTCTTCTTTTGTGCCGCACAGGTTGTTATGGTGGAACCGTTTATTGGTCAACGTTTCGACAAACCGTCGTCTTCAGGACCTGAAACCGGTTCAAAGTTCTAGCTCCTAACTCTTCCGGTGAAGCGCCTAATCTTGTTCAGTTCCCCGGAACTCAAAACAAAACAAAATAGAACGATCCCAGTGAACGAACCAACCTGTGATCCCACCAGTCTCCCAGCAGCCTCCTCTCGTTAGTGACCAAGATAAAATGAGACACCATGGACAATGAGTGTCCTACGTGTCGCATGTGGTGGTCTCATAATCCACAAAAAGGAATGAAAGGCAAGAATTCATTTGTTATGGTCATGCATTCATTTCGGTTGTTCAGCACTGGATTTTTCGAAATAAATTCTTTTGAAATAAAATTCGGTGCCTCTTTGTGTTACACAACATTTAGATCCTAATGAGGCTTCGTTACACCACAGATGGTAAGAGGATGAGGCTATTTTCTGCACGATTTACTGCAATTCATCAATATTTCGATTCGTAATCAAATTTTCCTGTCATCCAAAGGTATGAAAGATTTCCTCTGAAGATGTTCTCATCTTCCGATTACGCGGTCGCGTGCTCACGTTAACGATATGTCGCCATCCATCATCGGTTCATGAAAGAGAATCCTGTCTATATTGATTATTCCAGCAATTTTTTTTACAAGCCACTCAATTTTTTTCCACATTCAATATTTCCTGTACTGCACCAATTTGATAGAAGGAATACAGGACAATGAAAAAATAAGCCACAGTTTAATAGAGCCGCATTACACAAAAATGGCCGAGTAGTATTGTAGAGCTTTAGACTATAGAACACCCGGCAGCCGTACTGTTCAAAGAATCTCATTCTGTGGGCGGGGCGATGCTGTTTGTCGCGGACCCTAAGATTGAGCCGAACAAAGGCGTATGGGCACGAGAAAAAAAAAACTTTAGGGTGACAATCTTTACGTGGATGAGATATGAGCAGGGTCAACCCTACGTTGTTACTAGTAACAACGGGGGGTCGTACTTGGTTGAGTTTGGAGGGGGGGGTCGTACCCGTTTCAGTCGCTTGAAATCACATGTGAGTTTGAGGTGAAACTGAAGTTTTTATGGGTAGGTAGGCTGGGTGAGTTGAGGGGCGCAGGAAAAAAAAAAATTTGCCGTTACCCCCATGGAGGGGATATCAGAATGAAAGACTATAGAGGAATGAATAGTGGTCGAGGTGCGGAAAAGTGTGGGTCCGGTCCTAATCAAGCCACCTGTGGGGAATGGGGTCGCGAAGAAAATTTTCAAAAAGTACAACGATAGGGTGACCCTGCCCGCGCTACTTGGCCTATGACACGCGCAAGTTGCATTTGATAATAGACGCGGGTCAGTGGCAGCCGTGGAGAGCAGAGCTATTTATCGGCGCGGTCCTCTCAACCCTGCTCCTCCACTTTCGAGGGTGAAAGAAAGGGTACTCTTATAATAGTTGCTCATTGAATTATTATTATGTCTTTTGCATTTTACTTAACTCACCTTCTTCATACTTGCTATTATCAACCGTGTAATCCTACGAATTGTACCTGAGGGGGGGGGGGGGGTGGGTTAGTGTCTCAAGCTGGACATTCAGGAATGGTCTTACCTGAGGATGCGGGGTGAGTTGTTCGCACACTGAATGGTGCCGAGGTATAGGGGACTGTATGCAATAAAAAGTAGCAGATTCAAATTGAATTTGTCAGATTTGTACAGCAATGATCATTGGATATGGATCAGAGCCCACAAATATTGCCAATCGTTGTGTTGATTGGAAGTTTGTTTAATTACTCGAACCTTTTTGAGAAAAAATACCCTCAATTTCGGAACTTGTGGATCACCACGGACGCAGGGATTAAAGGCACGGGTCCTGACAAAATTGGTGTTTTTTTTGTGTTCGGAAATCAGACAAGAAGTGTGAAGTGGGTACGTTACTAGAGGAACAAGCGAAAAATACCATTAAAAAAGTTAATTTTTCTCGCGAGTACACTTTGTAAACACGCGGAAGATGCTGTGCAGCAAGAGAAGTGCCACGGAGAGAGTGCAGAAGCTACCCATGCCAGGACTGATAAGAATGGCAGCGGTCGCAACAGTCACGTGAAGGCATCAGCTTCCTTGTCGCGCACTTTCAAGTCGCAATAGTACTCGGCACCCTATTGATTCGGGTCGACTACCCCACTCAAAACAAAAATCTCGCTATAGCGATCGAATTGCACCACTTACCTTTATACTTAATAAACCTTGGGCCAACAGAGTCCCAAAAGCAGCGGTTTAATTGCCACTTTAGAGCATCCTAAATTGTGAAGACGTGGTTAGAGAACTCATTGAATAAGCTGCATATTCATCGAGGACATCAAGGGAGGTGGTTCGGTTTTGAGTTTGTATCGTTGCACCTCCCAACTCGAACTAGCGGTTATGGTTTTGAACCAGAGAAGAGCAAAAGACATGTGGGACCGAAAACCTCGAGAATTCGCCATCGAGCTAAAGTATTATCTGGGAATTTCCGCAGGTCTTAGAATTCGTGAATAAGCCAAAAACTACCACCTGATAGCATTTGTAAGTATATCACGGTTCTAACCAGCAGCCAATATTTTACCTCATTAGGAGGTTACTCTAGGTACACCGTTCAAAACAACTGCTGTGTAAGGTTCTAAAAAAGATTGTGCGGCCCTCAGGCCAATAAAAGATTAGGTAGTTTGCAAACCATATCATTTAGAACAGTACATGGCATGGATAGAAATAAAATGTAGACGTCTTCGGAAACTGAACCTTTTTCAGGACGCGCCATGTTTTCTACTTCTATTCGAACCGCTGATAAAATTTAGATGCGATTTGCCCAATACAATGATTTTTCGAGTCTGTGCAACCTGTGTTTTTACCCCAGGCCCTTAATGCTCTTCCGATAAGTTTCACCGACCTGGATGGAAACCTGCTCGTTGAACTTAGTAGGACTCTAATGGCCGCGTTCACTAGTTCGGACAACTGGAGAATTAGGATAAGAGTAGAGGAGTAGATTGTCGCTGAGCAAGATCGGATTACGTTAATCGATTGAAATCCGCTAGAGAGTAGTAGATTGGGCGACTTCGGCGAATAGATCAATACATATCTAATCTTGTCAGCGCACTATCCTAATCTACTACTATCCTAATCTCCTACTCTACTACTATCCTACTATCGTAATATCGCAATCTACTACTCTCAGCGATTTCAATCGATACGTATCTAATCTTGTCAGCGCAATCTCCTACTCTACTACTATCCTAATCTACTACATATTCGGTGATCTCCTCCGTCGATACATATGGCTTCATAAATATATACAGTACTATCTAATCTCCAGTAGGCGCGACTTATGGAACGTGCCCGAAGACGGGACCCATTCCTAGACCGTAATCGTAGTAAGAGAAGCTACATGTCACTAACTTGATATATGTGAATTTGTGATCATATTTTTCTTCTGCTAATTTTCTGTTTGAAGGGGAGCTTTTTTTCAATGCAGGCCCAGGAAAATAGTGCACGTGCAAAGATGAAGGAAAAACTGATCATCTTCGAAAAAAGCTGCTTCCCGATGGTTCAGCAATAC